TATATTTAATTTCAAATGCAAATACACGATGCATTCAAAACGAGGATAAAAATTAACATGTTAAATTCTGGTATTAAAATCGAATGCCTTTACGAATTTAATGTTTCCGATACATTGCAAGTTAATAGTAATTATTGCCCATTTTTCTATTACATACATTTTATTTAGTAGAATATTAGCTTACTCATCACATTTATGCAAATAGATTCATAACAAACATATATATGTAATCCCTATGCAATCAAAAATGTTTGGGATATCATTTCACTTTTATTGTATTTATGTGTTTATTTATCTCGTTACTATGTCACGCTGTGTCTATTTGTACATCACAGATTATATTTTTGTCAAGTCGACCCGTTTATTTTCTCACGAAACAAGTTAAGCTCCAGTTCCGTGAGTTGCACTATTATATTATTGGCGAAATTCGTTTACACAAGCAAACGTGCTAATCATTAACAATAAAATGTGTGTAGGTGACGTCATGAGTCACAACACAAAATTATCATCACTTGTATAAAAAGGTGGACACGGCTGCGGCGGTCATGACACTGCTCGGCGATCATGTACAGAAGCGTTGATAAATAAAAGATTATTTCCACTATTCAAATGATTTGAACGCCACCAAGGTTCAAGTTTATGCATGGGGTTCCTAACATTGCTCTTTAAGGATTGCATTTGGTCCCGGGTACGAACTCTGTGAATTATGTAACATTCTAATCGCCTAATAAGATTGTAATTTAAATAGATCAGTAAAATTTACACTGAAATGCGTCCGTCCCATGCCCTACTTGAAAATATGTAAGTACCTTCCGCAAATCTTAAGATTCGCAAAGTAGCAACTAAAAAATCTATTCAAATTTAACACATTTTACGACACGAGCGGGGCTTGAACCGGTTTTCACAGGGTTTTACGCTTCTGGTCCAATTAATTGAGCTACTGTGTCCTAAATTGGTTGAGCAGCTGAACGCTGTGGATGCCGGATCAAGTCCCGCTCGTGTCGCATTTTTTTCTCAATCTGAATAGATTTTTTACTTTATATACCTACTTAATGCGAACATAATATGTAAAATTTCAATCGAGTTGAAGTCAACCGTAGTTTCTTTGTTTCATTTTGTTGACGAGCTGTGACGTTTCGTTTGACTGTCAAATTATCATAAAAAACTTCCCCACACTCCTCACAGTCAACAGTAGTGGAGTTTGTATTAGGCGGTTAGGTAGCGACTTGTTTATTAGTTTAGTAAAGGTGTAGGTCGGCGGTGGCGGGGCGGTTCGCAGCGCATTTCGCCGACAGTTGACATCGAAGCGCGCCCGCGTGCGTTACTCCTCCAAGCTGGATTACACGGGGCCAATATGCTTGGAGAATTTGCGTGTCTCCGACGGCACCGCGGCCGCGGGACTCCGGTCCGCCGAGCTGGGCGCACGTTCCGAACCCTCGCTCCTCCGAATGCTCGATAGCGATAGGAATGGGCAAATTAGTCGCGCGTGCGATCGTATCTCCTCTTTTTGTAAGAAACTTCGGCGCACCATTAGTGAGTTTTTCATTCGATCCTTAGTTTCGCTCACGTGCCAGTTTCACACATTTTTCTCTTATATGTGCAAATTGTTCTAATGTTGCTTTTGTGTTTGCTGTGACACGCAGGCGACGTGGATACGCCTAAAAAGAGCGAGCTGGCTTCGGATAAGAAAACCGCTGCCTCCCATCGTAAGTGCTAGATGTGGCGCATCTCGGTAGCTACGTGTAGCAGTAGTGGTTGTCGTGTTGTGTCACAATACTTCCTTATGTCGTAACTAACGACGATCCTCTAACCAGCAATTAAATGTTAATTTTAGAAAGACAAAATAAATATATTCTTATTTATGATGAAATTGGGTCTATAAATATTTTTGCAACTAATATTAGTATATTATGTTAGAAAATCGTCGTTATCGGTATGAATGTGAATGTTATCGTGTTCATTAGTTTTTTTTTTTCAATTAAAATTAACTAGCTCACCTGTTTTAATAGCTTTACAGAATTGATGGTTTGATCGTTGTAGACGTGTTGATGTTAGATTACGTGTTAGTATAGTACATTTGGAATTTAACATTTCATTTAGTTAACAGAGACAAAGTTTAGTCTAACATAATATCACTTTATTATATACATTCAAAAATACAAGATTTTTATTTCTGTACAAAAATTAAACATACCGAATAAAATACATCTTACCAACATCAACACATACAGAATTAATAGGTAACGTTGTTAGCTAATAGGTACTATTTCGGCCTTCTAGGTCAATAGAGGCTTCTCAGTCCCTTCAAATTGACACGTCTATGTATATGTATGACGCTCCCCAACTATATTTGGCATCACAAAACTATCAACCTACTTGTACCTACTCTTTTCGCATCGTATGTTTTTTTCTATATTATTTAAAAAGATTTCGATTGGGGGGGGGGAGTGCCCGGACATAAATCAATGAGTGGAATGGCAACAATTATATTTCTGCCATTTGCCAACATGTCTTCGTTGTCCTATTAGTAATAAATAGGCAAAAAAATCGTATGTTTATATGCTGAAAAAATAAACTGCCGCAGAAGATGCCATATGGTCAAAATACTTAACTTGTCTTGATCATTACTGGAAATTATTTTATATTTATATGAGGTATTTACCTATCTAAACTCCATATATATAGGTAATTATTATATTCTTCCTCATTGAAAAAAACATGTTTTCGTGATTCAGTTATTTTGTGCATTTGTTTCAAATTCACGCCATGCAAGTGTCATTTGCGTAAATCGGCGATAACTTGTCATCAGGTGATGTCGCGGTCGGCACAAAGTGATTCGGTCAACTATCAATCATAATCAGACGTCGCTTGTGGCCCCACCCCGCCTTATTGACGCAAAAGTCCCAGCGCTACCCTTGTTTATCGGCTATGTTTATCTAAGTTGCCCCATTCCCTTAATAGACGCCACATATGGTGACCACGAGGTATCTACGTCGCAATTTTAACGTTTATCTAATTAGTGGGACGCACGTAACGCTCTGTGATATCACATGCAGAAACTAAGGACGCGGCCAATCTAATTACAGAGTGCTTATACGACACGGGTTTCCGTAAGGAAGGTCTTTGCTAAGCGTTATAAGCGGCTATTATGAAACTAAGATAGATAGGACATTTTCTGGAACATGTTACACTTCGTCCGCAAAAGTTTGGTATTAAATGGATGGCAGCAATATCGAAATTCCTCCTAGGTCAACGAAGCACCACGCGCAGATAGAACTTTAAATTTTGCATTTCGGTTTCAATTTGGGGATTTCCGAAAGTCGAACACACAAAATAGGTCAAAAACACAAATCTATTTGGTTGTAGTTCACCATCCATTAAGTATACCTCAAACTGCTGTCCTCATCCATCATAAAAAAGATACATAAAGTAACATATCTACTAATTTACATATTGCATTGTAGCACAGTTTTCATTGGTATAATTTGTTTAATATCAAAAAGGCTTGTAGGCGAGATTAAACTAAAACGTGCTAAAATCGAGATTCACTCAAGTACATAGTGGAATAGGATCAGACTCAACCTAGTCCCGAAATGTTATTCGGCCACGGCCCTAACCGTTTCTCTTTATTTATAGCGTGGGGCTGTGCTTGGGGACAGCCTTGGTATTTGCGAGACGTACCGAAACCTCATGTTCGAGGCTTCGTTTACGTTACGTTGTGCCGCAGCGAGTGACTTAAAAATTCATAATGCGTGTTAATATACTTCACTCAATGTGCCGCGTGTTAGCCCTTACCCTCTGATGTAGTTCGCTCTACCATAAACTTATGACACACTTCGCTGTAATTACTGTACGTAACCCACATTAGAGGATATACAAAATTATTGTCACGATGAGTACCTATATCGATGTCTCATCGTTATTTTTGAATACGTATTTTCAAGAAGCGTCCCACTGCTTTTTGGGGTAACCTTTAATCGTGTCCATATTTAGCGGTTATTAATAATTTTTAAAGTGCTTGCACATGACGTCGTCCGAGTCCCGTTGTTCTTGCGAGTTGATCTTAAAAGATCAACTCGCAATCAGATCAGATTGTCGTAGACTATTTTTCGATCATCATAAAAATCGATCTTTCATACATACTGGTTGCATCAAAGATGAATAGTTTTCCCCGTTTTTTCCACATTTTCCACTATTTCTTTGCTCCTATTCGTCGCAGCTCGATGTTTTATTTGCCTAAAGGCTTTCTCGATTAGGGGTCCAACCAACACTTAAAGATTTTTTCAATTCGGACCAGTAGTTTCTGAAATTATTAGCGTGTTCAAACAATCAAACCCTTCAGCTCAATTTTACTATAGATGAAAAACATTTTTGACAAATGAAACCAACATAAACAGCGAATGGGACATAAAGCAAACAATTGTTTATAAAATATATCGGTAGTGTCTAAACGTAATTATTCAAATAGTTCCATAACATTTGGAGAGTTTTTCCTGTCGTATTTGCTTAATTTTCTCTATTATGTTGCCACTGGCTCGCTAATGTTACGTGACGTAAAGTTATAACGATGCTGACAATTAGCACTGGCTCGACTCTACTAACTTCTATATTCAATAATTACTATAGTTGGGGATAGTGTCCCACATACTTTCAAAGCAGAATTATGGAAATTCTTTTCAAACGTCATTTTTTTTTGTTTTAAAAAGGCCTTACTATATGGGTACACAAATTATAAACGAAAGTTACATAAACAGTCTATTACATTAATCGTACAAGAGTAGTTTACTATTTCGGAATCTATAGGATGACAATACACAGAGGAAATTACTACGAACAATGTTAAAGTTTTACTACAAGATCAAAAAGAAAAAACGTATTTTAAAGTGTCTACCTCCTTACCAACTTAAAAGTGAAAGCAACGAGATCCGTGTCTCCTGTAATATGAATAATGTAATGATTGGAATGAGCCTCGTGTTAATTCCTATGTGCGAATTTTACAGGCAAGGACGGCTCAAAAGTGGCGACCGTGGTAGCGACGCCCGGCCAGGGCCCGGACCGGCCGCAGGAGGTGAGCTATTCGGACATGAAGCTGATCGGCAATGGCAGCTTCGGAGTCGTCTACCAGGCGAAGCTCTGCGACACCGGCGAGCTGATCGCCATCAAGAAGGTGCTCCAGGACAAAAGGTTTAAGGTTCGTGTCCTGATTATAATAAAAGTAGCACTTTTAAAATTGTTTTGTTTTAATTTTTTTTTTTCACGATTTAGCATCAATGTATTGAACGTTAAATGTTGTGGAAGATGTTTTAGATAAAGTAAGATTTGTTCTTATGAATTTATACATTACCAGATATAACTTATAAATAAAGGAACATTTAATTTATCCGAAAGCGCGTCCCTATTGCGTGCGGCTCAAAACGAAATCTATTGAACGCGAAGCATTGTCCTTATAAATCTCGTCTTATTGTTTTACAGAACCGAGAGCTTCAAATAATGCGACGACTGGAGCATTGTAATATTGTCAAATTGAAATACTTCTTTTACTCCAGCGGAGAAAAGGTGAATACTTATATTTTATTTGTACTTTTTAAGTTTTATCTGTAGTTTTTACATTAAATAAATCAATTATAAACAGGCTAACGCGAACTGTATCAATTAATTATTTAGTTTCAGTTCATATACAAAGTTCGCGTTTCCATCTGTTTAAATTTATTTGATTTGATCGTTCTGACTACTTTATAATTTACTTAAGCGTTTTAGATATACAGTTACTAAGATTAGGTAATAAAGTGTCTGGTTTTTTTTATCTGGGGGAAGGTGGCAGTGCCCGAGGCCGTTAGCTCACTGCTAAACGCAATGCAGTCCCTAGAAGTCACAGTATGTCTAACGATTCAATCAGTCTTTACGCTAGCGTGCTAACGCACATTAGGTCTATCCAGTGGCAAGGGTTACCGATGACATTCGAACGATATGTGTCGTCCACTCGCATACATTCTCATTACACTCAGTTAGACCGAAATTCGATGACCTAATACTCCCCTTTGATCGTGTGGTAAATGATTTGGCGTTTGCGACATACCAGTTATGAGCATTCAGTTCAGCTGCTTCAATATTCTCATCTCCATTGGCTCCACGAATCATGTGAACCCTTTATAGAGACACAACTGCTTGTTGTTTTGTGTTCTTTTGAGCTTTTGTTTTTTTGCACCCATCATTGCGCCTCGACCGCGTTCGGTACATGCTTGCTGAAATTCATATTGAAATAGGACTTGTCTACAGTATTTACTAAGTTATAGATGTATATATATTTGTGGAAAATAATTCATAATATTACATTTTATAATATTTATGGGGCCATGTTTGTTATCATACATGCATTCGTATCGCGTATGAATAACGTATATGCGTTATTGAATATATGAATATAACGTGTGTAACGATTCAGCGGATTGTCACGTAGACTTGAAATTCTATTGAAAACTACGAAATACCGTTTAGTCAGTCTTACATAACATGAGATTATCATAATATTTAATTATGAGCGTTTTATTGACAAACTTACATAATTATACTATTTCATACAGCGATAAGCAATCTTCTTATTTTTAACGTAAATAAATTTTCAACACAGTCCAAGGTTTTACTGTTTTTTTTTTTGTTGGTTCTATTTTATTTGCCATTGCCTATGATCATCCTAATAGCCCTATAATCCCTCTTGAGAAGTAAATATGGTTCTGTTAAAAATGGTGAAATAGGAAATTTGTCTAAATTTTTTCCCCTCCCAAGAGAGATGGATGTCGGAACGCGAGCCTTGACGATATTCGATGTTTATGGTTGGTGGTATACGGCTATGTTTAACACCAACACTGCCGTAAATTATTTTTGAACAAAGGGTTCTTTATTATATGTTTTCATTTATTTTATTGTAATGACCCCACTGAATTGTAATTCTAAGGCTTTCGAGCCTTAATTTATTTCCCAAATTGGAAACTTTGAAACTCAGTTTTGTATTTTTTTTTTTACAGGAACATTTAAATTTTTTGTACTTTACTGTGGACCCAATTGGTGCTACACTTTTGAAAATATTTGAATCATTAAAACACTTCATGTAGATCAATGATTTTTCCTAGCATTATTTCATTTGTGCAATGTTATATACAATAGTTTCATGATGAATTGTGTTACAAAAAGGTTTGATAAAAAATCCAAGAAGAAACTTTTTAAATAACTCATCAACTGAAATAATCTTTTAGTTATAGGTTAGACCTAAAATATATTTTGTATTTAAATTAATGGATGATCAGTTTGAACATTTTCAAACTGGATTTTGTTTGCAGAAGGACGAAGTGTACCTGAATCTGGTGCTGGAGTACATACCGGAGACGGTTTATAAAGTTGCGCGTCATTACTCCAAAGATGAACAAACCATACCCATTAGTTTTATAAAGGTATGACTTATCTCTAAAATGTATTTTCTTTTAAACTCATGGTTCTAAAAGTACAGGGACTGTAGGTCTGTCTAGTTTAAGTTGCTCAGGTGTAAATACACAAATATAAATTTATTTCCAATTACACAAACAAACAGATTCCCAGTTTAAGATATCGATGTAGACATTGTTCGTTCAGGCTTGATGCCTCGATTACTTTATTTATTTCTAGTTGTAGTTTCAGTTATATAGTAGAGCCTTCTATTTAGATGATTTATGTAAATTTTTAGGTAACTTAATTAATTTATCTCTGTATAAATTATAGACGTGTTGAATTAATACATTTTACCATTTCGGTCAATTCTCAGCCATTATGAAAGTGTTTCAATATAATTTTCCTGTAAAAGTGTACACAAAAATGATTTATTATCTCATTGTACATTGCATTATTAGATTCTTAAATCGTGTCATTAGAAATATGTTTAATTTACGATAGTAAGTATGTTTATAATTTAATAGGTATGGGTTCCATTAAAGGAAGAAGAAAGAAATGATGTTATGGTAGATACTTATAATTCAATGCTTAACTACCTCATACTTTTGTATCTAATTAATGCAAGTCCAGTTTATTTTACATCCTTAGATTTGTTATCTTAATTGTAAGAAGATTGTCTGTTTCAGTTGTTGTAACTTGTCTTTATCTTATTCATTGTTGATTTAATGAGTGAAATAATTTTTCCGTTTTCCAGCTATACATGTACCAGTTGTTCAGAAGCCTTGCATACATACACTCACTGGGAATCTGCCATCGGGACATCAAGCCACAGAACCTCCTCCTCGACCCGAAGACCGGTGTCTTGAAGCTTTGTGATTTCGGCTCAGCGAAGCACCTCGTGCGCGGCGAGCCTAACGTTTCCTACATCTGCTCACGATATTATCGAGCGCCGGAACTCATCTTTGGCGCTATTGACTACACAACTAAAATTGGTGAGTACTTTACCATATTTCGCAGTTAATTTATTCTATGCCTAAAGTCCCAGCCATTTAAAATCTAGATGCGCTATTGGACATACGGAAGTCCACACACACAGACTGAACCGAAACGCGAACTAAATAAACTTCACATCTTCTCATGGTAGCTCGTGATCTTGACGGAACTTAGATATTCATATATTATGAATTCATTAGAAAATTGTTGAACTGAACGAAAGCCCGTTGATTATTAGAACTACATTGCTACCATTATACCAGCGAGCTTATCAAAATTTCATCAGCTAATTATGCCATTGTTGAAAAAAGCCCACTGTTAACTGTTTTAGGATTGTTTTACTATGGTCTATTACTAAGGTCAATTTTTCACATAACAACTCTTTGTTTTTTGAAAGGTTGTGTCTATTTACTAATTGAATAGTATATTAGTATCGTGTTTGTCCGAAAGTACAAACACATGGCATAACTCCATGAATTATTATAATCTAGACGTGTGGAGCGCGGGGTGTGTGGTGGCTGAGTTGTTGCTGGGTCAGCCAATATTCCCCGGAGATTCGGGCGTTGACCAACTCGTTGAGATCATCAAGGTATGTATAATGTTTATTCATTATTAACTTATTCATATAAAATAGAAAAGTTTATAGAAAGGAACATTGCCAATAATTATAATATATTTGGCTAAGGGAAGCAAAAGACGTAGTTTATGCTAAAAATAGATGTTTGTAATATTTTTAAAGAAGATATTCCAGTAACAATAAACATTAAATATATTTTAGCTATATATATATAAAAGTGTTAGGAAAATAATCACATTTAGTGTGTTTGACACCGTGACACACTGTAACCAATTATTTTTCTACAGGTCCTCGGCACACCGACTCGGGAACAAATTCGCGAAATGAATCCGAACTACACGGAATTTAAATTCCCACAAATCAAGAGTCATCCATGGGCAAAGGTAATGCTCTATTATATATTTACCTACATATATATATATCCTGCTAATAAACAAGTCGAATTTTACTTTTTTGTATAATTTTAATAGAAAACGCGCGAACATGCATTTGAGAACTTAGTTATTTTTGCAACCGTATCTTTGTCACACGAGAAAGCATAGATTATAAATACATAGAGGGAGTTTTACAGTTTTAATTTAATTTTACAAATATACATTTAAAATTTACATTTGCTTACACTACAGTAACACAAAACAATAAAGAGAAGCACAAGAATACATACATAATAAACTAAGATTATAATATTAACTACAATTTACAATTATTATTATATCCTTCCAAGAACCCATGAAAATATCAATCAACCATTTCCTGTAGATTATTAATCATTCGAATTGTTTCTCCAACACATAACCAATGTTTTAAATGTATTTTTCTTATAAATATGTATTTATGTATATCGATGTATTCATGCACTTTTTATAATATATTGTAGACATTTCTATAACTGCACTAGTAATATAAAGTAAGTAGAGCCATTTAAAACGCTTAATTATAAAAAGCATCAACTTGGATTTGTTGTAACATTATCGCGTAATTGCAGTATTTGTTGGAGAGAATGACGATGCCCAAATCAGCCACTGACCACCAGCGCATCAGAGTAAGGCACCGCTAACCCAACCTAAATGCCTACATTCTCATTATACAAAGTGGAGTACTTGTTTCAAGCCACGAGTACCCAATAAAAAAAAAAGACTGAATTATTTTTTCTAAGATAAAAGGCATTTCTCTTCATTATTAGATTCTAGTAGTAAATCGTTTAATTTATTGTGTGATAAATGTGGGCATTTATAGTTTGCATTCTGATACTTCAGCTGTTAATAAAATATATTCATAGTTATCATCATTGTGCTAACGTGAATCTGTAGCACAACATAGTTATAGTAAATAGTGATGTTTAGTAAATAATATGAAAGGAAAAATAAACATGTTTATATGGATTTTTAAAGAGTACAGATTGCCCAGGCATGGATTTCAACAGTTCAAGTTACAAATAGGGTTGGCATCTTCGCATGTTCCAAACAAATTGATGTAGAGTAAAATGATGATAAAGAGTAGAGTTTTTATGTCTTTTATTGTTATTTAATTGTATCTTGGTGCCAACCCTATTTAAGACTAATAATGTTTAATGGGTTGACGATGTCTTCAGCTGATTTTTGTTGGTGTTCAGTGTGTATTCAGAGTAACACAGTTTTTTTATTACGAATTACGACATAAAGAAATATATCCCACATTACACTACACAATTTGCTAACCCTATTAGACTTGTATTATATGGGAGTTATAAGCAAATCTAATATAGTAACATATATATTTGGTTGTTTTAATATACATTAACATTGTACATAGAAGATTACATAATGGTTCATGTTCTAACGTTTATATCTATGTAGTGGTCAGCTACACAGATTTAAATCTCGTTGGTAGCTTAATTGAATTATCTTAATCCTACGTTGCTTATTGGGATTCAGTGTGTTTAATCAATAATCAAATGCGTGCTTATTTCAATACGTTTACGTACACTGAATTTTATATACTACCTATATCTTATATTAACCGTAAATCAATTCTAGAAACTGAAATATAATGTTTTAAGAATTCATACATAAATATTTCAATGAAAATATTGTTGACGTGATAAGTTCTAGAGTATTTTTGGTTGATGATAGCTACTCAAACAAAAGCTATTAACAATGCTTATAATTTTCTCGTCTTGAAGTATTTTTTGAATGAAAGAGAGAGAAAATAATTCTATTAAAATGTCTAAAGTATGTCTCAAATATAATCCTAAAATATTTCATATTAATAATATAAAAGTGCAATTTTGCTACAAGTCAAATCTGGCAGACTAAACGGCCACTATTTGTGGTAGTTATACTGTCAAATGAGGTTTTGGCTCGTTCTGTCTTCAGAATAATTGTATTGTCCTTCTCTTGGTCTATTTGCTTATTTTTAAATCGCTCGAACCAATTCAACGTTCTTCTATCCTAACCTAGACCCACCTATCTAATGAAATGTATAACTGTGTTTCATGACGTCACGTCTGCTTGAACAGGTGTTCCGCGCATGTACACCCCCAGACGCGATATCTCTGGTCTCGCGGCTGCTCGAGTACACTCCGGGGGCGCGTCTCTCGCCGCTGCAGGCGTGCGCGCACAGCTTCTTCGACGAGCTGAGGGAGCCGTCGGCTCGCTTGCCCAACGGTCGGCCTCTACCACCGCTCTTCAACTTCACGGATTACGAGCTCTCGATTCAGCCATCGCTAAACGACTTCCTGAAGCCGCGCGCCGCCGCACACGCCGAGGCCGGCGCGTCCGCTGCGCATGAGCATGACGCTCAGGGTAATGTAGCCTTAATTATGTTTGTTGCCTTGGTGGCTTCATTTTAATAGTTAATGGAATGGAAGTCCAGGGCTTAAATCCTGGGAAAACAATAAAATAAAGTTTCGATCAGGCAGACAATAAAAGTCTGATTAACTATCTGTCTCAAAATAAAATTGATGCTTGAATTTAACACATGGACACAAATTGTTGTCCATGCCCTATGGGCGGAAAAGGGTTTTACATTTTTATCTACGTAGTTGTAGATAAACTAAATATTATGTACAGTATAGAATATGATTGATTTGTCGCTGCTTCTTTTTTTGACTGAAATATAATTTAATGCATATATAAACTACGAATTATTTTTCTTCAAATACAAAGTTAAGATTCATTTTCTGTACGTATAAAAGTTTCGTCGTCTTTTAAGACAGCATTACAATTAAACTGAGGGTATGTAAACATACATATAAGACAAATCCATAATTTTTCAAATTTAAGCTAGGGTGCTAGGTCCTGTTCCCAGGGCTCCCTCTAAGCATCGTAGAGGGCTGGTGGTGTGTTTAGTGGTTCTGGTCGGCTATACGATTTACCACACTCCCCACGCCACATTTGCCCGATCTGGGCGTGCATTAGGCATTCACACCATCGAAAAGAAAAAGGGTGCTAGGTCCGGTACCACGATAAAATTAAAACAGTTGTATAGGAAATGGTAGTGCGTCCTATTTAAAGGGTAGAGGTGTCAGAATTTTATTGTTATCTGTATGTATTTACAGGCGAGAACGCAACAGCGAGCGGAACAAGCGGCGGGTCGCCGAGCGCGTCGTAGAGTCGCCGCGATTCGCTCGAACCAGGCCATCGTCTCCAGCGTCCTTCACATACCGACAATGGGCACATCACACCCACGCTCGACCTGCGCCGGCCGGGTCTCGCAGACCCACCCAAGCCTTGAGCCGGCAATATGCACACCCTAACCCAACCATAGCATGCAGTAATGAGTCAGAATACATTTAATTTTCGTATAAATATTAAATATATGTTTTAGTTTCATAAATCAGGATTTACAGTTTCATTGTAAAGTATATCTAATTACATTTGAGGTAGGAAAGAGCAGTTACCAACATTTAGTTATGCTAACAAACATTAGTCTGACTCATTCTAGCGTTAACTCGAAAACCCAAAATCGAATAGGGCTACACACCCTCGTAGTGAGCTTATTAACGATAGCCGCGTTCACTAATCACTAGACCGAGGGCTCAATGTTTACATAGTACATTATTATAGGAAAATGCTGTATTTAATCTAGCCATCAATGTAGCCTAAACGTCGCTCCAGGGGCTGTTACCAAGTGCCTCGTTAAAGCTTGCTAAAGAACTTTTACATTTTGTTATCGAGATGCGAGTGAGATTGCGTAGTAATAAACGCAGATAGCGAGCTGCCTTCCCAGTCGAACGTATTAGAACTCCACATCTTCATAGTAAATATTTTTTATTAGTCACAATGTCTCTATATGCTGTAAGTCCTCAGCTGTATTTGACAGTAAAATAAAATGTTTCTAACAATATTTGGACTGGATGATGCCACTATCCGCGTTTATTACATAAGAGGGACTAACAAGAATGACGGCTACAAGTATGTATTGGCAAAATGGCGGTGAATAGGGACACGTGCTAAACACGTAACGTATAAAGACGCATGCGCAGACGTGTAATAAAGATTTGCGTCTGAGAGTTTAAGCCGTGCGCTGTGGCTTCTAGAAACAGGTACAGTGCCTGATGGTATTGTGAAAAATTACGTACGAGACATTACAAGGTCGGGATACTGCGCTCGGAAGCGACTGCGTTCCGTCTTACGGTTATGCACAGACAGCGGTTGCTATTCAACAAATAGATTTCTGCAGAGCATTCAACAAGCGTGTTTTCATACTTCGCGTGATAGCTGTCCGTGTGTTTCCGAGCTTCGCGCTTCGGAACTTAAATCGAGAGTCGTATGTACGCTAATTAGTGATAGTATATTTTGTGTTGGCCATCGGGAAAAATTTAATGCATAATAGGTGTTTTCGGCGAGTTATCGTGTGATACTGTAGTGTAATTGTCGAAGCTTGAGCAGTCGTAGTCGGTAAGGAGGATAAATCCACTGTAGATTCTAAACCGTCGCGTTATTACTTTGTACTTTTGTAAGCTCAAAACTACTTTGTGTACATACCTATTATACTGGCAACACTGCGGTCGTAAACGAAAGATTTATTATCTGGATACAAATATATTTTATAGCGAAAATCTATTCATTTGTGCAATCTATTAATTTTTTGTGCGATATACATTTCGATATATACGCTTCGTGTTTTCCCACCTGCACTGTTTATATCATTTGCTTCTTAGGTAAGGAAGCTTAAATGCCTAGGCATATAACATTTCGGTAGTGAAAATCTCTTTTTAAAATTCCCTTCAAAGTGATCGTCTTTCAAAGCAATCGCACCTTAGAAGGGACTCCCGTCTTGCGCGTATATCGTCAGTGGGAAAATGCTTAGTGCATTTTAGGCTAACGGGCAGCAACAAATTGCCTCGATTACTGAAATCCGCTTGTGCCGTGTATCCCGTAGAATTCGAGTAGACTTAGAATATTTATTGTCGATTGTCGAACGCATCGTGACACGTGACTTGCGAAATATGCCTAGTGCTGTCAAACAAGTAAACGAACGGTATATTTTAACGCATACAAAAAACAAACATACTTGTACATTTTTATAACTAGCATAAACTGATCTCTCAGATAACTTTAATATCTAATAATATCTCAGATTATTATGTGATTGTATAAACAATTCGAAAATTAACAGTATAGATACTTGTTTATTTGTAGCGGATTCTGTATTGATTTTTTTTGCCGATTATTCAAATATATTTTGCTATCCAGCGCTGGATAAATGTATAATTAAATTGCACTGTCTGTGTCCTATTATAATGTCATAGTTTTTTCGATAATATTGTATTCTATAAAGATAATCGATAAATCATATTTCTGCTATGTAAAATTTTGTCATTGTGGACATTATATAAGTAGTCATTTATGCAGTAATATTAAAAGTAAATTCATCGTCATAGTTTTTAAGTATTTGGGCAATTTCATTTTGCACTATCGAGTTGGCTTAAAGTTACAAATTAGGGGAAGGTTTTCACCTATACGATATAAAGTAACGAACTCTTTTATTCATGGTTTAGAATGTAGCTTTAATTCAGGTAACCTTGGGTGTTTTCACTGATCATTTTGTTTAGTGCCGAAATTCAGCTGCCGCGGTGTAGTGGATTAGCGTGAGAGATCATTGCTCATTTGAGTCACAATCGCGTGCCTAGATGGCACTGTTGACCACTTTTTCTACCTATACTCCGTATATAACAATTTTCGATTATGTTGCATCTTTCAATTATTGAATTTGAACACCGGTTCAGACGCATTGAAGCTGTACGGTCTCGGCCGAGTATATAATACACCCTCGTATTACTATGTATGTAATAATTACTTATAAATTCTTAGTACGTTAGAAATGTACTGCGCTCGGCGCAAGATTTCAAATCACACATAGTGGAGCTTAGTTTTGTCCCTAAGGCTATATTGGTTTGCTGACACCTTTATAATTCGTGTAAATATATTATTATAATAATTATATTATTATTATTATCTTTATGGTATGACTCTTGAGTAAAGTTAATCGGTAGGAGGCGTATTGCGCTCGCACTCACTGTTCGGACGGTCTCCAGCGCAATGTCGACGCGTCGCAAGTGACGAGAGGCCGGCTCGAATCCAGTAAGGGATACGATAGTTTAGATATGCATATTTTATTAAGTCTACCTATTATGAATTTTGTAATCGACGTTGCTTCTAAAGACCCTCTGTGTAAAAAGTTAACACACACTAGTGACCTGATGTTTGAAGCGATGTTTCTGGAACGTTCTGACCCGTTTAAATTCTCACCTTCACGATTCACGTGCACTTTTACTACTCGAGAGTTTTCAGAAATGCATACTTCGAAATGGGGTTGACTAAGATAAATTATTTAAAGTAAAAGAGTTTTCTTATTACTAGTACTGTAATATTAAATTTAATAGTGAGTGAAATTTGTATTTTGTTTTAATTTGTTTTACTGAATTTGAATACATCGTAACACCCATATCGTTGTTAGTTATGAATGAAATAACATAATTATAAAAGTAAATATTAAATGAATAGTAACATGGTTTTTTTATTTAAACATATCCACTTTCCATTGTATCCAATTCTTTATCCAAATAAAATACATTGAAATTTCTTTAATTTCTACTGATATTGAGAAACATCCTTTTTTAAACTACAAAATTGTTTCTACCAATATTATGTATAGAACCGAAATAACTGCCCTTATAAAGCATTTTATTTAAACGATGTTATAAATGTGACTTAAAAATGTCTAAAAAGTAAAATATCTTTTGAGTAAAATCGACTTCGGACTATTGATATTTTATAATCAACAATTATTACTGACTATTCAAACGTGACCCCCAAAACCCCCCTGGAACACGTGCAAGTTAATTTTATCTAGATAGATAAATGAACTTGGGAGAAAAGTGAATTCTTCAACCATTTAACGAAGAAGAGCTGTTGATCTATTTTGACCTTGATGCCCACGACCCGTTGATTATTAGCTATGGGAGAATTAAGGACTTATTTACACCTTTAATAATTTTGTGTTCTTATATATGTACTTACTGTTTGTTTTGTTTATATTGGATTAGTATTTTTATTGATGTACCTAAGCGTACTATGGCGCTTCTTTTGAAATTTATTCCGAAATAAGAATTAATATAATATATTTATTTTAATTTAAATTAATGGGACCTATGGTTAGTTTTATATTTGCCGGAGTAAAATAATACACGTAGTCATAGTAAAAATTTAAGAGGATGATACGTTAAGAAATTAGAAAACTTCTTTAAATACAAGGACACTTTAACAAATAAAATGATATACAATTAGAATATGTATTTACACGTTAGACATAATTTTTTATAATATCCGGTAAAGTCTTGTGTGCGAAATAACCGTTTACTAATTACTCCTTATTAAAATATCATTATCGATTCTTCAAGCTACGAATAGAATCGATTAATTAAAAATCGATGACTTCTCGTCAATGACACTAGATTGACAATTAACATACGAAAAGTGAATATTAAAAGGGTTGCCTTTGTTGTTTTTATTTTGCAAATAAATTACATTAAAAAAATTAAAATAGCATATGATGTGCATATAAAAGTTTTATTCTACAATGAAGTACTTATAAGAGATTTTATTATGTAAAGCTTAGAATCATAAGAAGAGGCATGAGAGAATTTCACAAAAATATACTATTGTAAAAGAATCTTCATTATTTTCTGTACAACGTAAAATTAACAATATATAATCATGCACGAGGCTTATGAAATAACGCATTTGCTAAATGCGTCTGTTCAAATAGAAACCATAGCAGCTTATGGTAAGAAAAAAATCTAAATTCTTTTGTTCATTTCATACCTATACTTTCACTAAATGGGTGGATATGTTATTCCTGATGTAATTTTGTTCTAGATGGAAACTTATTAATAGGGACTCGACAAGGCCACTTGCTTATGTATTCACTCTTTTTTAATAATGATACCAAAAAGAATGAACTAAAAATGATAAGGTATTGTAAAAACTTTAGTAAAAAACCAATACAACAAATAGAAGTGATTCCAGGCAAGTGCTATTGTTAACTAATGGTATTGTCTACAATGTATTTAAAAATGCAATTAATTATAATTTCACTCTTTGCAGAAGATAACTTACTGTTATGTCTCACAGACAACCTGCTTTCATCTTATGATATAAATGGTCTCAATTTTCCTTTAGTTAAAACTTTTTCTGATACCAAAGGAGCGTCACTATTTGCATTAGATAATAAGGTGAGTCTTAAGTACATACAATTTGTTTTGTTGTAATAAACAATGTGGTTTTTTATATAATGTTATAATAAATTAGAGTGGAATTAAAACCGTAATGGCTTATTCCTCTTTTTTATAAAATGTTCACAGAGGAGCTTAATTATTTTTAATTTTTTTATGTTTTTAGTCAGCAACATCTATGACTGGTGAATCCAACTCTGTGGTACACCTGTGTGTGGCGGTCAGGAGAAAATTGCAGCTTTACTATGGTAAAAATGGTGAATTTAAAAAACACTTATTTGACTTTACAATACCAGATGTGCCAAAAGTTATGGCTTGGGGTCAGCAATACTTATGTGTTGGCTTTAAAGGAGAATATACATTATATGATGTAAGTTGTGTTGTGTTGTGTTACATAAAGATTACTTTTGCATGTGCATTAAATTTTAATACAGTGCAGTTGCTAGAATTCAGTTTAGTTGATCTATTTCTATATTTTACCCTAAGTAATTATTTTCATTTATGCTCCTTATATTAACTTTCAGTTATGATACTTTATCCTTATACATAAATTTCCAGTGTCCAGCAGTTCATGTAGCTTTTTGTTTAAAATTTTAAACTGTATGTGATTATATTTCATTTCATATTATATTTTATTATTATTTTATTATATTATATTTCAGTTATCTTCACATAACCCAAAAGAGTTATTTCCAACCAGTAGTTCTAATTCTCTTGAGCCATCAATTGCTAAATATTCGGAGACATCTTTTCTTCTGGCGAGAGATAATACTTCAGTTTTAGTGCAAGAAACAAAGGAAGAAGCTATAGAAATTAAAAATACAATAAAATGGTCAGATGCACCCATTGCTGTTGGTGAGAAGAATTGTTATAGTTAAAGTTTATTGGTTAATGATAAATCTTAACTATTGGTGCACAAGTTTGAAAATCATAGAATTTTTTAAATGTATTTTTCAGTATGGGATGAACCATTTATATTGGGATTATTGCAAGACAATATAGTGGTACAAACCGTTGAACCACCCCTCTTTATTCAGACATTACAAGATTTAAACAAAGCAAGACTGATGTATAGGTGAGACACTTTTCCTTAACTCTTAAAGTTGTTGTTTTTAAACTTTGTATAGTGAATGACAAATTTCAGTGTTGCCTATGTGTTCTGTGTCTTGCATTTTTGATGAAGGTTGCCATAATATCTATACCACCTTTTTTGTTTAAGTGCAAAGCAGTTCATATCTTGCAGAAAAATCATATAAAAAATAAAGTAAATCTATGATGAACTATAAAATTATTAAGCAAAACTATTATTCAACCGCACTAAAGCTATCAAAAAATTTTTTAAATGGTTTTATTTTCATATCTCAACATTCCACAACCCAAATGCCAAGGCAGGATTTGAACCTATCATATTATGTTTTTATATAAGACATTTAACTTTTTATTTTGCTAAAACAGTGCAAATACAACACTTCACCGTTTCCGACCCGAAAACCCGTCTGTTTCGTAGTTTTTGTCATGTGTTTTTATATTATGTTGATGAACCACAACTTTTGGCAGATGTAAGCGTGGTTTAATATTCGTGGCCTCAGTGGGTCAGGTGTGGTGCCTTAATGCAGTGGATGTGACTAAGCAACGCCAGCAATTACTCAAAGACAAACACTTTCAGATTGCTATAGACTTAGTGGTAATGTAGACAGTATTATGAATTATGTAATTGAACATTGAAACAATCTCCTTGCAGACCCAAGCTCAAACTCACTATATTCTACTTACCCAGTCTAACTATAATACACTTACTAAATTATTATAGTCTTGTCTGTGTAGCAGACCTTGGAATTTTGTGAAATCCCTTTTCAACCTGTGGGGCACAAGACAAACACATTTCTGTGTCTCTTTCACTGATTGATTTTATGTACACGCTAGTAGTTGGTCCGTTATGTGTTGTCTTCTTAAAAAAAATCTTCTACTAGGATTCAAATTCAGGACCTCTCAAATTGTTTGACACAATGCTAGGGGCAACATGTTGAACTATTGACCTATGTAAGTGGTCAAATATATCAATTAAATAACTATGTCAGTTCTCTTAATAACGAATTATATTTGTAATATATTATAAATATAAGTAAATGTTACCAATTTAATTAGTAAACTATAAAAACATTGTTAGTACCATTAATTAATTAGTGTAACAGGAAATAGTTTTATGAATTACTAGCTGGATATTGTTTGCTTCTGGTAGTTAGAAATGTTTTATTTTAAAGTTAAAAAGCGACAAGCTAGAATTATACAACTTTTGAATGTGAGTTTAATTATCTAAAATATATTATTAAGCAAGAAGTGCATGTTTATTTTAATTTAATGAGCGGGAAACGGTCGGTCAGTTCATAGAGCAAGAACGCTGTGGGTTCGACACCTACCGGATCATCGGCATTTTATTTAAATATTAAAATGTTAAGTTTATTTGTTTCTACTTCAGAGTTTGTCAGAATGCTCCCCCGAAGAGAAGAAGCAAACAATACATTCCATACAAATGCTACACGCATTGGATCTCTTTGACAGTAAACAATATTCCCAATCCATGAAGGAATTCATAAAGTTGAACACCGATCCTGCCGAAGTAATCAAACTATTCCCGGAACTGGATAATAAGCAGAACGACGGCAAAGAGAAGAAATTAAAAGGGAAAGACCTGGAGAGTGCTTTGAACGCGCTGATAGAGTATTTAGTGGAGTTGAGGTCGAAAATCGGAAAGAGTACGGAAGCCGGGGCAAGTAAGGACGAAGTCGCCAATCCGAGGAATGTGACGCAACAATTGGAACTCATTGATACTACTCTACTGAAGTGTTATTTGCAGGTAAAGTAAGATAATACCCATATAGTTTAAGCGAGTAGTTTAAATAAAACACTTTAACGGTTTAAAACGTGCAGCAGCCATGGTCACGGGGACAGTCTCCCATGGCTGCTGCAAAGCATCCGAAACGTCGGGCCGAAGTTAAAAATAATTTTCAAATAAGTTTAACTAATATATCGCGTTTTAAACCGTTAAAGTGTTTTATTTAAATGTGTACTACTCGCGTAAACTATAGACAGTATTTAGATAATACCCATTTATTAGAGCTAATACAAAAAACTAACATACATAATAGTCTGTAGTTTACACGTTAAAATAAAACACATTTAACAGGAAGAAACGTGAAATATATATCAAAACACAAATTATAAATAAGCGAATGTATTTTATTTCTTCTCTTTTTACCGATAGAGATTTTTTAACGATAGAGCACGACAGATGAGCAATGGGTTGATTTGATGGTAGGCGAATTACCCCAGGCATAGAACATCTAGACAAGGTGCGCTTGACCTTCCTTGTTCCAATCCAGAGTTCCAGACGAAGTCTCACATGTTTCAGGAAGATTATAAATTGAAAAATTAGAAATATGACCCGGTGGGGATCAAACCCACGACCCTTCGATTATTAGCCATACATTGCTACGAATGCACCAAGGAGCACGTCAAACTTTTTTAATAGGATTTATCTCTTTTTTACCTATTTACGCAAAGGTAAATGAAATAAAATTCTTGCTTATTTATTCAACCCGTCGCAATATAAAAATTCGCGTAACAATTAAAAAAGATCTCCTTACAAATATTACAAGCCACAACGAAATGTTACAATGTGGAAAAAGCATAGTATTAAAGACGATTGTTTGTTTTGCAGACAAATGACGCATTCGTAGCCCCATTGCTGCGTCTAAACAATTGTCGCCTGGAGGAAGCTGAAAAGACCCTCCTGCAACATGGAAAGCACAGTGAACTGATCATCCTTTACCAAACAAAGGGTCAACATACAAAGGCCTTGCAGCTATTGAGGGAACAAGCTGGACAGCCTGACTCCAGCCTCAAGGGTTACCATAGGACAAAGAATTATTTGCAACATTTAGGTAAGGAAATTTGATGGGTATTTTATATGAAATGCTTTTAATACTTTTTTTATTAGTAATATATTATATGGTTTGAAAAAAAAACTGTCATAACATTATGAAACTACCTTGTAATACATTTAAATAAAACACTTTTAACCGTTGAAAACGCGGTCTTAAAAATAAAAGTCTAATTGACTTACACAATAATCCACACAGTTGATCTTAAATTATCTCTATTTCAGGAGCGAAACACATAAACTTAATATTCAAATTCTCTGATTGGATATTGAAGGAACACCCTGAGGAGGGCCTGAAAATCTTCACCGAAGACATAGTTGAGGTGGAGAACCTGCCTCGTGCTAAAGTCCTCGATTTTCTACTACGCGAGCACGAGTCATTGGTCATTCCATATTTAGAACACGTCATACACACCTGGAATGACACGAACGACCTTTTTCATGACGCCCTTATCAATATGTACAGAGAGATAATAACGGAGAAAAAGGCGAATTCCACTGAAGAAGAACTGCAGCATATCAAGTCGAAATTGGTGGCGTTTCTAGAAAAGTCGACGCATTACACCCCGGAGAGGGTTATATTACATTTTCCTAACGATACACTGTTCGAAGAGAGAGCGGTGATATTGGGGAAGTTGGGGAGACACGAGCAGGCTTTAGCTATTTATATCCAAATCCTAGGTAAACATATAATTTCTTTAAATAAATCAATTAAACGGTTTAAAACGCGATATACGTATATTAGTTAAACTTATTTGACGTAATAAATACCGCATTTAAAACCGTTAAAGTGTTATATTTAAATAGGTACTGCTCGCGTAAACTCAAACAGTATATAATTTCCTATAGTTTATAAGTTTATTTTTTATAATAACCACCCTTAACTCATGTGCAAATGGGCGCTTAAGACATGTTCCGATTGTCCAAAGGGAAAATAGGGCAAATACTATTAATTTTGTCAAAACTCTGTCAAACAAAATAAAACAATTGAAAAACCAAGTCCTTTACGAGGTAGTAAAGACACCGACCAAGTCAGTAGCTTGCAAGTTGCGCAATCTTAAAAAAATGAAATAATGTTCTAGAAGGACACTCAAAGAAAACTATTGACAGTTGACATTGTGTCGTCCATATTTATTATCCTTGTATGTAAACTTTTTTAAATTTTTTGACAGGTGACGTAGAACGAGCGATACGATACTGCGACAATGTATGGGATAGGGCAAATGAAAAGAGCACGGACGTGTACGTTATCCTAATGCGGATTCTTCTTAGCCCCGAGCAAAGTGGAGCCCTAAGTGGTCCTTTGGCCAGTGTGCCGAGACACCCCCGTTCCTCCACACCTGATTTGGAAACGGCTCTCGCTATATTGGAAAAACATGCTGATAAGATTTCGCCTATTAAGGTTATACACATAGATTTTCATATGTTAAATAAACAATTATATTTTCACAAGTATACAGGATGGCGCCAGAATGTTACATGGAAATTAAATAGTTTTCCTACGTATCCCACATTCCACAGGGCACTACGTAATAAAACTATTTTAAAAAACAAATCCTAATTTTCATTGAATTATAAAAAAAAATACACAAAGTTATTACAGCCAAAATCGTGTAGTCGTGTAAATGTCAAATAGACATCTACTTTTTTTTTTTAATCTTCGTTAAATAAACATAAGTTAATTGCCTTGAATTTTAAAAAATATTGTTTTGGAACTGCTATTACATTCTAGTATTATAAGTAAAATAATATTATTCTTATTTACTTGTAAATACAATAATGTATGCTCCTACGTTTACTTATTAATGTTGTATTATATTTTTTTTTAATTTTAGGCGCTATCAGTGTTACCGAACAGCGTGTCTCTGAGCCGTCTAAAGAATTTCTTAGAAAGCGCACTACAGTCACAGCTGACCCTGAAAAGACGAACTCAAGTGCTCAAAGGATTGCTCTACGCTGAACATACACAGGTAATAACCACAAAACAATAATAGTTTCGCACAGACAGTGCACAGAGGTCTGGTTAATTACTTGTCTGTAAAAAAAAATAAAGATGTGTGTCCAACTGGAGTAAACGCCCCACCATGAACAATGGGATCTTCTTAGAAATAAATTTAAAAGTATAGTTATTTCTTTACATAAAATTATTTTAAAGGTTTAAAGTCAGAAATATATTAGTAATATATAACTACAATATTTATTAATGTATTTCAAGTTTTAAACCGTTAAAAGTATATGAACTCGCATAATTGTTCACGCAAAAAATATGTCAATTATAAACTGAAAAAAAAAAACTACTCGAGCAGTACGTGAACTGGCGCGATCTTTAGCGTGCAGTTGCTCTAACCAATTACTAAGCTGCCGAGTCCTACACGTCATCCTCTAAATTTTTCAAACCATTGATACTCTCGCGCAGTGTAATTCCAATCTTAACACTTGCGTTTATATAATGCCATGTTCATATGACAAACATTAAATATTTTTCATCTTACACCAAGGAAGTGCAAACCGTATTTGTATCATATTTATTCCGCTATCTCTTTTGCAGGTACAAGAGATGAAACAGTTCCACGAGTCCAAGAGCATAGTCATAAACGACTACAACATCTGTCCCGTGTGCAAGAAACGCTTCGGCAACCAAAGCGCGTTCGTCCGATACCCATCCGGTGACATAGTTCACTATTCATGTAGATTAGACAAGTAAAATATAGTAGTATGCTGTAGAACCGGGTTGAGTGAGGTTGGCTTCGTCAAAATATGCAATGAACCCAGAAACTGTATCGTGTATTTTTTCTAACTTGGCAAAAGACCACAACAAATATGGCCGATTATGAACCATAGATAACAAACTATAACTAGTGATGACCTTTAATAGAGTGAAGTTGTTGCCACAGATGATACAGGTATCAAAAAATATCGACTATATATGGACTAAATAACCTCAATATTCAAAATGTCGTTCATGATCTTCTTTTTGTATTATTTTACTCGACGTTTGTAACGCTTTTCAGCGTTCGTGCGCGAGTAGGACTTCCACCTTCTATTGTCGTTGACTTTGCTCACGTCCCACCCTTATGTAAATGTTAATCCAAAGAAAGTGTTTTAGTGTACATCAATGTAAACCTTGTAAGAAGATCACGAATAATAATAAAAAATAAAAGTGAATTGTGTTTGTTCACCAAAAATGCCAAGATAGAAAAAATACACTGAAGTTATTTGCGTAATTACTGATATTGGTCTTGTCCCCCCTCCCCCAACTATCTAACCAAATTCCTTCTATGCCTAGTGCCTCAACACTAAAAGCATTTTGCACTTGCACTATGATTAATTTAACAAGTTACACGAAAGTTTACTATGAATAATATAAATATTAACGTACGATTATTACATAAAATACCACTACAAAGGATCAGCATCGGGTCGTAATTAAAATAAATAAAAATATGTTGAACTGATACGTTTCGCGTTTGAAACCGGTAAAAGTGTTTCGTTTGAATGTATGTATACTGCTCGCCTTAACTACAGATATGTACAGCTGTCGCTTGTAATGTATTTAATGTATCTACTGCAATTTTATAGTTAATGTAAAAAATCACTAATGTAAAACTACACATTGTTGTGTATATGTATTGTAATATATTAAATGTGAATTTATTTATTTGTTTTGTTTTGTTTTGAACCTAAATTGCTAAGAAATGAATGGTACGTATTGGTAAGGTATAATTAAGAATTGGGAAATTATTTTCTATTGTATCGATTATAATTTATATGCACACGTAATTTCATGGACTGTATGTAATGTATGTCTTTAGCTATTCATACATCCGAAATGGCATCGACCTTTAAATAATAAAATATTTATTCTGCAAGTCGTTCATTATTAGTCCTGGAAAAGCAATATAATAAACATTTAGGAAAAGTATTTATCAACAATACCTAGCCATGATCACTACCATCTACCACCACTGATTTATTTAGTTCTTTTTTATAAAAAAATATACATTAGTAGGCCGTAAGAAGCTGTATTGACAAGTGTAGGATTACGACACCTACTAACAAAAAACTGGTTTTATACGATAACACCAATGCTATTGCTTTACAAACATCATAGCTAAAAAAAGTATGTATAATATTTAAATTGAAATACAACGTAGAGGATTTAATGAATTTCTATATTACAATTAATATTTTGTCTAATATAGTTAAAGTTTACTAAGTCAAAGATGGGATCTGCTGCAAAGCATCTGAAACGTCGGGCCGTAGTTAAAATAATTTCCAAATAATATAACTAATACATATCGCGTTTTAAGCCGTTAAAGTGTTTTATTTAAACGTGTACAAATCGCGTAAACAGACAGTATTTAAATCTATGAAAGTTTGTATTTTTTTTAATAACAAATGATGGTACTTTGATATCTTTAAGTGAAGTACCTACCTTCAAACGATAATCTATTTACAGTAGGCAGAAGAAACAATTATCTTCTTATTCTATTTTTAACTATCTTGATATAATAAAGAAATAAAGATTCATAAATAGTAACTTACTCCACTGATGTATTAAGAAAAAACATTTTGTACGTTTGTTTTCGTGATAAAATAATGTTATAAATGATTTTCTAAACAAACCATGAATAATGCAGACGTTTGGCCTATCTAGCGAACAAAGTCGTATGGAATATGTCTTGATAGCGATTCGATACAAATTATCAGTGGGAGTGGTAATTATTCGTGTTAATAGTGACGTAGGCGTGACGCAGGCGACGCGTAGCGAACGTTGCCGAAGCGTTGCGTCTTACGCGGGTTTCCGCCGCACGCCTCTGTGGCCCAATGGATAAGGCATCGGCCTCCTAAGCCGAGGATTGTGGGTTCGAGTCCCACCAGAGGTACATTGGTATATTTTTTATCGATATTAATCATAAATTGTCACTTAAGTCGAAAAGGTGATATGAAGTTAAATGTATATATTAAACAGAGTTTTGTTTATTTTTTCTTTTTTTTTTGTTTGTTATTAATTTTTGATAAAGATTAATAAGGCGCTTTGGGAATTGTAATTCTTATAACATATTTTATTAAGATGTTAAGCTGTTAATAATTTTATATGTTAACTTTACTAGTTTATTAAATTATAACTACACTTGGATGTTAGAATAAAAACTAACACATGATAAAGGCGTAAGTTTTATTTCAATGTTACACGAGATTTTTCTGTGTGCGTTTGACAGCAATGTCGTTATATAAAAAGAAGAACGCCGACTGTGCATACAAAATCGTGATATTAATACGTCAATTCCAAACGGATATTCATTATAATCTTAATAAAAAAAAAAAAATCTTATCTTAAGTTCCTTTTTTTCCTTCTCATTTCTGTAATTTAACCCGTTATAGCGATGTAAGCAATCTGTAAGGCCTAGCCTCGTTTATTCTTTAAGTTTTATTGTTAATTAAGCGCTATGTAAGGCCGTTTGATTGTAAGTTTAAATAAATAAAAATAAAATAAATAAAAAAAATGATTGCTGCTTGTCTGACGCTAACTAAAGCTGTTGCTTTATTTTGCGCGCAATAGAAAGATTATAAATTTAGATTTGTAACAACACTCAACGTTGGTTTATATCGCAGGAGTATGATATAGTCAGGTGGTAAACTTCTCTTTTTTATTATACTTCTTCGGTTTTTTTTTATTATAGGGGAGGACAGACAAGCTCGAGATTCACTTGATGGTAGGTGAATTAACCCAGCTAGATAAAATGTAAACGAAATCCACTATATTTATTTTGACTTTGGATATTCGGAAATCCACATACTGAAACCGAAAGGCGATTAAAATTGACGCCTTCTCATCTGTGGACGATGGTTCGGCCCCTGGATGGAATATTGATATTCTTACCGTCCATTTAATGTCCAGATTTCCAGACAAAGCTCAAGTCAGAAAAATTCTAAATAGATTAGAAAAATGTTGGCTCCGGTAGCGATCGGACCCACGACCAGTATCATTACGCCAGCCACTAGCCCACTAAAAAAGCTGAGAGATTTGGTTTTCAAATCCATAAAGATCTACTATGAAGGTTTAAATTTCGCTCCTAAAAGCGAGTTTCGCATAACTATGACAATATTGGACGCATTTATAAAAGTTTCATATCTCGGGGAAAGCTGTTAGATATGATAAGGATATTATTGATAACACGGTGTGCCATCGATCAGTTGATATTTGTCGATCGCGGTGCAACAGCAGTGGACATTGTTATGTTATTATAAATACCGTGAAGTGCAGTGTATAATGAGAATGATGGCTGACGGCGAGATGGGTTACGGCGAGTACTACAACTATGAGGGTTGGTCTGTGGGACCGCCTGAGTACGTGGAACCAGCCTGCCAGTACCGACAGCCGATCGAAGATGACTACAGATACAACACTTACGCGTTAGTCCTTTTTGCATTACTCACCAAGGTTCTAGGTTGTAGATAGGTGATTCTGGGCAAGGGTAGCTTTTTGAAATGAATGTTTAATAAAAATCGCCTTACGGTACAATTACTAAAATTAATTCAATTTAAATACTGTTCCTGTTCCTTATATTATAAAAATAAAATAAGAAGCAAGTCTTATTGTGAATTAATCGAAATTTAACAAATTAGATAACACGACCGGGGCTAGAACCGGCATCCACGGCGATTCGTGCTACTGCTCCAATCAAATGAGTTTATCGGGGAAAAACCCGGATAATTGAATAAATAAACGGATTTATATAGCCCTATCGTGTTGTTTTAAATACTAAAGTTTTCAAAAGTCTTACTATATTACACAGTAATATATTCGAATCATGCATTCTCTGTTGAAATATATTATTTTTTATACAAATTATCGATTTCTATTTCTTCAATATAATCGAATTGCTTCGCAAACTGTATACTTATAGTTTGCGAATTAGCAATTACATCACATTTATGATCCTTTTATATATTTTGTCCTTTATTTATTATTTTTGTAAGATAGTTAAAGGATAGTCCGAATTATTATTAAGTAATCGAGTATCGAAAATTACCACAGATAAAATAATATATCGTTCACTTTTTCACACGCACATGATGCCATTATATAAATTAAAAATCTACTTTGAAAAAAAATACGGCGGGACTTGAAAGGTTCCGTGCTTTAATCCAATAAACCAATCGAGCTAGAATCAAGAATGACTGTCAAAGTTGTGCCGAATTGCGTAATCTACCTACATAATTTAAGCAATTGCACCTGTGTCTTTTTTTTATTGATTATGAATGTTATACCCCCTAGGTTTTGTGTTGTTTAAAAAGGATTTTCTGAAAGTGATGGTTTGTTTAAGAAAAATCGTTACTAGATATATTTTAGAAGCGTCTATTTCCAACTTGAATAATACCACTTATTGGAAAACATATGACAAACAGTGATTTTTGAACTATTTAATGTATTCGTGTGTTTTAATATAATGTGAAATAATAAGTAGAATTTCTATTACCGACTTTAATATAGGCGTAATTTTCTTAAAAGATTTATCGTATAAGACTTACTAGTTAACAATATCTAGTTGTGTATTGGCCAACATTTTTGTTAATTCTGAATAAAATTTACAATAACACTCATGCTTCTTGACATCAGTTCAAGTAGCAGAGCGGTACAACATCAATTTAAATGTTACTTGCTACTCCAATGACTAGTAAATCTTCAGATAAGTTTTTTGGCACTTGTACTGACACGTTACTACACATTATACCATTCTAGTAGATGGTGACTCAGTTTTAAAATATATTATCAATTACTTGTTTCATACATTCTTAGAAACCAATTTTATCTACTTCGTACAATTGTGAAGTGTCTTCTATTTGATTTATTGAAAATAACTGTGCTACTTACGAACCGCGTAGATTTGAAAAAAGTTGTCTATGATACACTACATATTTAAATATACAAATCTACGTTTTGTATGTTCGAGCAAAATTTATAAACTGTTTAAATTGTATATTTAACAATTTCAAATTTTGACGAAAGTTTAAATAGAATTTAAATACTATAACAACTTTTAACGGTTTAAATCGCGAAATGTATTGGTAAAACTGGCTTACATTTTATTTTAACTATGCCCGACGTATCGGACGCTCTATGGTTACCGTGAACCTTTAAATAAAACTTTTGCATATCTATATCCTTTAAATTAATAGCGACTGGAGGTTATAAGAAATCAGGCATTAAACTTTTATCGCTAACATTAATCAATGAATCATTAAGCGCCTAGATTTTAACACATGTATATATACAGAAATCAAAATGGCACAGTACATCGGTTCAAGGATGTTGTAAAAGCGTGTTAGGTACTCCACTAAAATATATATCATAAAAAATGGATACTTACTTAAATACCAATAGCAACACAATAATGAATGTCGAAAAGCACAAGATGCTTCGTTAATTCATTACCGTATTTTTTTAATTATTAGAAGTCTTGTCAAATTGTGTCACAGTTGAATAATTATCAATATTTGAAAACATTTAATATTTTGCCAATGATGGAATTCGAATTGAAAACAATTACACTGGCAGGTCTTCACCAGGCACCCACAGCGTTCGTTGGTCTAACCAATTGAACTACCGTGTCGTAGTGACGTGCCTTAAATTTTTCAATTTATAATCGATTTAAAATTATCAATAAAAATATTGCGTCAAAGTAAAGTTGTATATCACATAGAATAGCGAATTAGTTCGCGTGTTCCACGCCTATAGGGCTCCGGCGGTGAATCGTCGCGCTGAGTACCATCGAGCTCGTAATCCGACAGCTGCGCTCACTCCCATGCCTTCGTGAAGTCCTTAATTGGTTTGGAAGCCCTCTTCGTGGGCTGGCGTGCTCCCATCCATTTAAACCCACTGCGCCTAACCAGATTGCCGTAACGAAATGCCCTGAAAACCATCGACTTTTACTCTCTATCCGCTTTCGCGAAATTCGCTTCAATTTCGTTCCTTTGAAGTGCCGACTGACGTAAATACAACTTGTATAGTTTGTTTTCGACTCTAATTGTGTATATTTGACTTATTTGAAAGTTCACTGTAGCGTTAGTGGCAGCAGTTGCTTTACAATTGTAATTGAACTTGTCTAGAGCAAAAAGATAAAAGAACAGAGTAATTCGGTTATGGGGTAGATTTTTTCGCCGCCGCCGGGTGGTACGGATAGCGCGGTCATATATATAATATTCAACTTTTACACAAATTACTTTCCTATCGTGCCGTTTATCGGCCCCCATTATTTTATCATTAAGCATTGCGAATAACAAACCATCGTCTTTGTGAACGCGCCTAATGATACTTGGACTATCGTTCACGAAACTAGTCAATTTATATGGTAATTTTGATAACTTCATTTCACATAATTTCAACTGTTCAAAATTGTTCAACTGGATAGACAATTTCTACGTTAAGCATGATATAAAAAGTAAATAAAATACTTAACTTTAGAAAAATCGCCTTTAGATCAAATAATATTAAATAAATAATTGCCAGAATCCAGCCATGCCAGATCAAATAAATAATTTAAAATAAAAAGTGAAATCCCGTTTCCCCCTCGCGGGGCATGGGGCGAACACATTCATGTGTTTCAATGATCCTTTCTTTAACAGGTAAGTAGTTGATCACACTTCTGTGACCTGCCCGACCGAAAAAAAAATATTTCTCTGGGATTCGAACCCAAGGCCTCTCTCGCTTAACGCTATTCTACGCATTCTAGGCAATAATTCAAAGGTTACGGAGGCGGTCAAAGTAATTTTCCATAGGTATACCAAAATAACTTGAACATCTTGGACGTAACGAAGACAAAGACACACATTTTAATATAAGTACAAATTACGTAAATGTCGAAATCAGTACTTCAAATTTATATGTAAACAAATCCCTTAAGCGAGAAACAACAAACAAGAGCCGTACGCGCTGTTGCACATCTGGCCCATAACCCGCTGACCAGCTGATTAATTAGGTGTTTGAAGTTTGACTTAGCAGATGTTTTGTTGTATCATTGAATAACTGTAACTCAATATCATTTAAATCAATCTAAAGATTTACTATTACGGCTTTAATGAAGAAATTTTAATTATTTTTTCATGGGTCCCATGGTTCAATGGAACTCATGACTACCGTCGTGTTATTACAACGTATAAATAATAAATCAATGGGTCATGGGTTTGATCCCCGCCGGATCTAACACGAAAATTTTTTGTCTTCTTAGGAAACCTGGATATTAAATCGAAATTCGGACCCGTTTACAAATGAAAAAGTCGCGCTTGTTTGTTTGTTGGCAGTTTATGAATTAAATACTGTCTATAGTTTGCGCGAGTAGACGGTTTAAAACGCGATATATTAGTTAAACTTATTTGAAAATGATTTTTAACTTCGGCCCGACGGTTGGTCACGGGGAGACAACAGACCAAGGCTGCTTCAAAGCATCCGAAACGTTAAAGTGTTTTATTTAAAAGTCTATGAATTTCTGAAAAAATAAACTTTAAATGGGTCGACGGCGCATCTTGTTGTCATTTTATCAGGCTGGGGTATTTCTACATCCTTCAAATGAACTTCTTGCTTGCCTGTCTTCCTTTCTCATAAAAAAGCAAATTGTCTTCGGTTAGAATAACGACGAAACTCTACACTATTCATATGTTCGCAGGCATACTTGACTAACTTATTAGTTAAAAAATGAAACCAATCAGTGAAGCAGGCACAGAAATATACCTGTCTTAAGCGGGGGTTTAGTTAAGACATCTTTATATCCGAATTAAAACTTTTGACCTAATTTGTTTTGTCTTGTTTTATTTTAACTTAAATATAAAGCATGTGATGTTAACAACGCTAGTATGGTTTGAGTTGAATTTTATCTAAGTACTCGTACCTACATGTGCCACTACTTTTCTACTCCCACCGTTTGGCTTAAATTTTTTGATAAAAACAACAACTTGTTTGTGGTTCTTCTGCCCGCCACGCTCGTGAAAAATGTGTCCGAAGTTTTAAGATTGCTTCTATCTGTGTCTATGATGTTAATATTTCGCCTATGAAAGCTAGTGTGGAGTCAAAGTCTCGATGCTACGTGTGAACAATAGTGATGTGATAATGTTAAATGAAGCGCGAGCAGGGCTTGCCCGGTGACCCACGAAGAGGGCGCCAACACCTGCCGTCGACCCTCACAAATCTGGCCCTCGCTCCGATTATAGTATAGGCAAAGACGAGAGATCACACACTAAAACATAATATAAAAGATACTAGGTAAATATTAAAAAGTCTCTTCTGCATCTGTTCTTGATAGACAATAAGTGTGCGTAACGGATAAATATGTCAATAAAACATAATTTGACTCGATAAAATTTTAGGTTTCTAGATAAATCCAGATTATATTTACAATATCGACGTTTTATCCAAAGGA